ATGTGTACCTCCAACTCGACGTCAAGAGATATTTTCTAAATCTTTTCATGTTTTTAATCAAGGTGCTCACGTGATTGGATGCACTTCGCGCAATAAGACGATTTTGATTATCGATAAAATCGTTTTGACTGGGTCCTGCCATTTTGTTTGAAGCAAATGCAAGTGATATAAGAGGTGGAATCTGATTGGTCAATAGGAGGGACAGAGAAGGGACATAACTCGTAATAGCCGCTGGTGGCGCTACGATCGAGCCCAGAAATTCCAGCCTAGTTTGGCAAGGGTGGAAACTGGAGTTTTACAGTCAGTTAACTCTCTTTCCTGGGGAAGATGGCATGCTACAATCAGTTGAATGACTCCAGTCAAATCCTTTTAAGTGTTCTGACAGGGAGTTCCTAAATGCAGCAGCAATAATTCGAGAACATTATCTCACCAAAGAACACGTGAAATTTTGGTTTCAAAATGTGGCAGGCGCTGTTTACAGCAGAGCGCTTATGGATACAGTATGGTACAAATCTCACAGCATCAGTAACTGAAAGAACAGCACCAGAGAAGAACCCTCCCAGGCTTCTACTGTTGCTAGGGAACCTGAGACAGGTAATATAGTTGCCAAACTGGGAAGCTACTCATGGTATTGTGGAAAGCTGTTCCCATGGCAATATTGATACCATTCATTTCATAAGATGTCCAGGAATCCCATTCAGATCCACCCTTGATACGCAGATAGTGTATAATAAGTCACAAATTGTAGTACTGTATTCACTGTATAAAGCACCTGCTCCAATCAGCACCCAATCAATCAATATTATTACAGAGACTGAAAATTTACATGATAATCTGTATTTTCTTGTTGACTTTGGTGTGACAAGCAAAGGCTTTAGCCGCTAGTGAGTGAGTATGGTTTTACGCCACTTTTAGCAATATTCCAGCAGTATCACAGTGGGGGACACCAGAAATGGGCTTCACACATTGTACCCATGTCGGGAATCGAACCCGGGTCTTCGTCGTGACGAGCGAAAGCTTTAACCACTAGGCTACCCGACTGCTCATTTGATCTCTAAAAACAGATTTAACGTGTTGTGAATGGTTCTAATAAGTCATTTTTCTAGGTGCACAAGGCGCTTATTACGACGAATACAGCAATATATATATCTTGTTATATATTGTTTTCGGCATGATGCCAAAGCTATACACATGATACAGGTAACCAGTTTCACAGAAACAGATCTATTAGCACCACATCTTATTGCTACTCATCAACTAGGAGGAGAAGGTTTTACAACAGGTATAGAATTGACATCGAACACTTAAACCACCAGGGTAATCTGTCCTGCCTGGGTCACATGGAGTGAGTGAGTTGGGTTTAACCCCGCTTTTAACAGTATTACAGTTATATCACGTGTTCTGGCGTGCCCAAAGGACGCAACTCTGCACAGCGCATTGCGGCACTTAGACGACTGTTCCGCCCGCTTAAGAGTGTAATCTGATTGGATGGCTATTTTTTTTAAAAAGAAGATGGAGTAGCAAGTCCATGGTAGTTATCACAAATATGACACCGCTTTTAGCAATATTCCAGCGATATCAGACACCAAAAATGAGCTTCACACATGTACCCATGAGGGAAACGAACTGGGACTTCGGCATTTCTAGCGAACACTTTAACCACTAGGCTACCCCACCGCCCCTATACAAGGGAGGTAATATGGACATAATCAAGGATGAAGACGGCATTGCAATGTTTTTCAAAGGAATACTAGTTACAAACTGAATTTAATAAATATTGATAATATTGGAAAATGTACAAAGATATGTTTATTGAAATATGCATCAAATGCAAAAAGGAATATATTAAATTCATAATCTATCTTGTCCCAAATGAACTTTGTGTTGAATTAAATTAACATTATCATAATTCTAATAAATAACTGGTCAATCTAGAAACAAAATAGGAACAAACACAACATACTTGTATATGTCACAGACAGTATTGCACACTTGTGTGAAAAAATTTATCCACTGGACTGGTTTGGTACAAGCAATATATGTATCTAGTGTTAAGATATTATCCATATTATAACGAAACTTAGAAAAATAACACTTGACACTAAATTACAGATGCTCCTACCATTGTGTGATGTCAAAGTTTCATTCTAATGGGGATTTTTTCTCTTGCCAAGGATAGTAATTCGATCCGACTAGCATATTATATACATTACATATGAATATTTGACAATATATTTTAATCATTTTTATTGCCTTGAAATAATTTCAGTTTGTAAGTATGGATTTGCCCCACCAAATCATCCGCAAAGGCAGGTTTCCAGATTAAAAGGGTTCAAAGTGGCTGAATATTCATCTTTAACAAAATCAGTGCCAATCTTTATATCATTATTAAACACATCTGAAAGGTAGACATGTTTATCCAACAAACTTGATGCATTCATTATATCATTATTAAGAATCAACCTCCGGAAATCTATTACAAAAATTCCCGTATGTATGGTACCCCACGACACACAATCCACATTTCTCCCATAGCACACTGACAATGAGAAAAAGAGGCATACCATATTTGACGTAATAAGCGCCCTCAAAATAAAAAATAAGGGGGCTCTTTTTAGAATGAAATTTTGGTGAGAATTGTTTTTGTAAATTTCAAGGTTTATGCTGACAGCCTGAAATGATACAAAAGAAAAGTCTGTGCGTATTATACACGACAGATTTATTTTCCAGAATTCAATTGCACATAATTAAGGGTGAATATACCACACGAGTGTGTATTATATCTTGTGTACATTGATCAATTGGAAGGGGTGCTCATTGGGATTGTTCACTAGCCAACATATTAGCAAATATCGCCGTGGGCGCTTATTAGAGCAGGGCGCTTATTATGTCGAATACGGTAATAGTAGAATATCAAGATACAGTTGCCACAAATTTTTCACTGCCATTTCCAACTGTACTTTATCAAATCAAGCACTCCCAGAATCATACAATATACTACTCAAAACAAGTGAAAGAACACCTGATATTGTTACATGACTACACTTAATATGTAATGGCTGGTTGGTCCTGCAACACATAGCCTTCCCATTGTGGGTGGTGTTTAACTTGTTTTGAGTAATATATATATAGGTTTTTAACTAGTGCACATAGAGACCCTCCCATGGTGGCTGCCTCTCTGTCAGGTGATCTGGGTGATCTTAGCGCCATGCCTGTCATTAGTCTAGGAGACCGCCTCCGTGGTCTTGTGGTAGAGCGTCCGCCCGGAGAGAGGAAGGTCCAGGGTTCGATCCCGGGCCGCGTCATACAAAAAGACGTTAAAAGATTGTACTTGTTGTTACCCTGTCTGGCGCTCGGCATTAAGGGGCTAAAACAAGGACTGGTCGGCTCGGAGTCAGTATACTGTGTCTGAGTGGGGTATTCATGTTAAACTGCGGCATGGTATCTCAGTGAGCTAGCACTATAAATCGGCATCAGTCCGGACTAGTACAAGCAGCCACACACACACATACACGTGCATGCACGTCGCTATATAAGTGCATTAATCTTGGACGCGACGTTAAACCCAATTTCACCTCACCTCACCTCATTAGTCTAGGTTGAAGAATGGCAGTAAAGAATCACCTAAGCGCTAAGATCACTTTGTGGAACAAGTCCATTTTGTATAAAAATCTGAAATAATTTTATGTATTCTGATTTTGTTTAATGATGAGTCATATCTACCAGAAGCAAAATTACCTCACAGGAAAATGGGCTGTATACTGAGTTTCTAAAATAGTATGACAAGACTGCTGTGTTCGATACACCAGGGACAGCTAACCAAGTTCTGATTATGAAATAATGAAATTGTATGCCTCTTGCTAGGAAAATACTCTCTATTTATTTTAATTAGAACTTTGACTTCCTGTGTGCCAACTAGGCAAAATTGTAATAGTCATTATGCCATGACAGTGAGTGAGTGAGTGAGCTGGGTTTAACGCCGCTTTTAACAGTATTCCAGTTATATCACGGCGTGTCAGCTTAATGTGGGAGGAAAGCCCGAAGTGATGCAGGTCTTAGACATTTACCACTTCGGTGAAACCTACGAACACGGGTATGGTGCTGACAAACCTAGAAACATAATCAGGGCGAACCGGGATTCGAACCCACAATCATAGGTTTCTGGCGTGCCCAAGGGACTCAACTCTGCACAGCGAATCGCGGCGCCTTAGACGACTGGGACACCCGTGCCCCCTATGCCATGACAGATTAACTATAGTAATATGAAAGAATAGGCTGGTCAGTAAGTTCTTTTGAGTAGTTAATATTCAAGGACAATATAAGTGAGTGAGTGAGTGAGGTTTTCGGCGCTTTTAGCAATATTCCAGCAATATCACGGCGGGGAACACCAGAAATGAGCTTCACACATTGTACCCCTGTCGGGAATGGAACCCGGGTCTTCTGCGTGACGAGCGAACGCTTTAACCACTAGGCTACCCGACCGCCCCAGGAACAATATAAACACAACTTGTGATGGTACAATGTACGATAGACATTTCCTTGTATTTTCCCAAAATATCAACTTGAGTGTTTCAGAAGTCAAGAGTTTTAATAATTAAATCTGTTATAAAGTGTATTGTGATAACAAATTTGTTACCTTAACCCCACTACCCACACACACTCCAAACTTAAGACAAGATCTTATAAACCTGGGATAGACACGAACACTAGTCCGCTAGTCCGAGACCAATAACAATTTAGACGGACTAGTTTCATCCCCAGATCTAGTTATTTTACATAACCACTAGTCCGATATGAGCTGCGGACTAGTTGGATATAACCAATGGTGTCTCCTCCTGCACACATCCATACAGACCCGTGAAGATCTGGGTTACAATTTGTCTTCAGCAACCCCTGTAAGCATGGTAAGAGGCGCCTGACAGGATCGGGTAGTCAGGCTCGCTGACTTGGTTGATGCATGTCATCGTATCCGAAATGCGTGGATCGATGCTCAAGATGTCAATCACTGGATTGTCTGGTCCAGACTCAATTAATTACAGACCCCCGTCATACAGCTGGAATATTGCCAAGTGCATCGTTAAACAACAAACGAACAAACAAAACAAAACATACATACAGTTTGTTGTGGCCTTGCTTACTAACAGATTACAACACACTTACCTGCCTACATAATTTCTGTGGATGTCTTCTGTAAAAACTCTGGAAGTCAACTGAGCTAGTATTTGAGGCCTATCCTGTATAAATAATTTGTTCCAGAAAATATTTTTTAAACATCTTGCCTCAAGTTTAAACAAAATATAAAAATTTCAGTGGACAAGATGGATGTCTGGGAAACTGTGTTGTTGAACATGTTGAAAAATACCCCAAATTCCGCCCCACTCCGGCACAGTGGCGACTCAGCATAACACCACTGCCACAGGCTAATTTGCATATCACGTGACCAGACTTTTCTCTTGTTTGTAACGGACCAATGCAAGTATTTGGGGGCGCTTTACATATTGTTTTGCATAAAAGACTCGTCAAACATGAAACGGATGAAAAGCATATGCAATATCTTGAATGGACTGAGAAAGATGTGACGAAACGTCACATGGCGCTGGCCTGTGGCAGAGGTACTGTGCTGGCTGCCGACCGCAAGGAAATCTGGGTAGGAGAGTGGGAATTCGGCCTCAAGAGAAAAAATGATATGTCTTGAAGCAGTGACCAAATAAGTAGTGTTTTGTATAGATTCCAGAATCGCTGTGGGAATATGAAGGCTTCTGACACACGGACAAATCCGCATACTGACTGACACATTCACACACCACATGGGAGGGATCTCAGGAACATACAGCAGATAACGTTACATCATGTAGGCTGGTAAAGAGCTTGTTATCACAATAGCCTTGTCGTTATGGTAACACATCTTGGAAAAATCACTAAAACACTCTAACCATCCACATAAAATTATGACAACTTGGCTAAATTTAACCTCGAAGAAATGATTCAACATAAATCTGCAGCTAGACAAGACAGTTTTCTCAAACCAACTACTGTTTGCGTTATAAACATGATATCTGTATAAAATAGAAGTACACAGACATTCGTTTGTGTATCGTAGTGATCTTATGAAACCTGAATTAGAATTTATTCCTGGTGCACAGAGTACATGGTAAAGGATAAATCATGGTTCTTTCTTACAAGCATATGTATCACGATTTCATTTTTATGGGTCGGTATACTGGGCAATTTCAAATATCAATTTTGATAATGTGTCTACAAAGTAATTCATTTTCCAGTGAGAACACTGTCAGTTCATAGTTAGATCCCTTAGGTGCATTTATTTTATTTCATTCATTTCTGTCAAGCAAATGTCATAATCTGATTTTCATAAGATATATCAATCATACTTGTTCTACACCAGGTTCAAGGTCATCACAGATGCCATGGTTACAACTCCCACTTCAAAAAAGACATCTGTTAGCCATTGCCGAGTGTTATGTCTTTATGTACACTCAATGTAGTTGTCTATGGGAGATAACTCCGGACAGCTTAATGTGTTCATGGTATGGTCTAGGGGAGATAACTCCGGACAGCTTATGTTATAAATGTACTCTTCAGTGAGGGAGTAGAAAGTGAGTGAGTGAGTATGGTTTTAGGCCGCTTTTAGCAATATTCCAGCAATATCGTGGCGGGGGACACCAGAAATGGGCTTCACACATAGTACCCATGTCGGGAATCGAACCTGGGTCTTCGTTGGACAAGCGAACGCTTTAACCAACAGGCTACCCAACCGCCCGGGAGAAGAAGGAATTGAGTTCCAATATGTCTGCCTGCATATATGCCATGTGCTCTGTGTGAATTAAAACCCTTGTTCTACATTTCCTGAAACCATTATACAAACCAAAGACTGCTGTGTGAACAAGGCCTAGAGTGCTGAGAAAGACCCTTCCTCTAGCACCAGAATCAGCCTGTGATATTTTCCAAGATGTATTGCCATCGCCACAGGACCAGAATTAGCACTAGGTATCATTATGACACAACCTTCGCAGTATTCAGATAATCCTCCGTCAAGTTGGTGTCAGGAGAAGACTCGCGTTCAATCCCCACCAAAGTCCGAAATGCCCCTGTTTTGAACGTTGATACTGGCGTAAGGTCTGTGTGAGTTGTGTCACTGTTCTCCGTGAACTGTCTATCACAACCACTTCCCACTGGTTCCATCTGGTCTGCAGGCACCTGGTCTCCATGCTTACGATGTTGTAAGCGTTCTTCGCCTGAGGATATGTCCCCCTCGTCGTATGACACGCTGGGGCTGGACGTGCTGTCACTGTTATCAAAGTGTATATGAAGTGTGGCCTTGAGAGCTTCCATATCATTCAACTTGTCGTCTTGGTCAATCAATGCATCACTGCCTTGCAAGTCAATCACTGCCTTATCAAAATCCTCCACTGACGAGTTCACATTAATGTTACCACCAGATGGTGCTGATTGGCTAATCTTGAAGAAATCATCGTCATTTGCCTCAAATAAAGTGTCTGTTTCATCAAATTCCTGTTTCCTGACCTTGTTGACTCTGTCCTCGAGGTCGGGGTTGTTGATGGTGTCATTGTTGTCTCTGTTCTCCTTGTCCTCGAGGTCGGAGGTGTTGGTGGTGTCATTGTTGGAACTGTCGTACTGTTGGGCGGAGATCACCTCCTCCTTGCGGGCCAGACTGGATGCGGAGCTGGAGCCTGCGATACTCCTCGTACTATCCCGTGCCGTGGAGCTGGTGATACTATTCCCAGTACCACTGGTTGGAGTAAGGGACCGAGTGGAAGGTCCATCCCTAACAACACAAAAATAACATCTGTAGAGCTTCTTGGGTTTTTTGTAAGATAAGTATTGAATAATTAAACCATTTACCAACACAATCAATTTTATGCCCTGGGCAAAACATAAGTTTTATTTCATTAGCGAGTGTGGTTTCACTCCGCTTTTAGCAATATTCCAGCAATATTGCGGCGGGGGACACCAGAAATGGGCTTCACACTATGTACCCATGTCTGGAATCGAACCCGGGTCTTCAGGCTGACGAGCAAACGCTTTAACCACTAGGCTACCCGACCGCCCCTTATTTCATTAGAAAGAACCATTTTTACTGTGCTCCAATCTATACTTGGAAAGATGAAAATAACATATATTCAACCACATGATAGGATAAAAAAATAATAGTCTTGGTTCTAAGGTACTGCCCACATCATCAGAAAGTCGGCTGCTTGTTTTGTTTTAAAAAAATCCTAATACTTAAAAACAATGCGGTCCAAAATAGCACGCAGTTACTTCCCTTTACACTGCTTTATTGCCCATAGTGTGTTATGGCAATGGAGGCAGTAGTTTGTAAGCTTGTTTATGTAGGGAGGCCCTTCTCAGTTGATGGTACACAACTGTTTATTTGGTTACATACAAGTTTGAACCCTCACCCCCACCCCACAAAAAAACCCCACCGCCCCTGCTCCATACTTTTAAGGATAATTGCCTGAGAACCAAATCTTTTATTTTTTTAAGCCATAAAAATACTCTTTACATGAATGATTAGGTGGTTTATCTTCAGACAATGACAACATGCAGTGACCTTTCTGAATATGATAATGGGAAGTCTTTGTTTGAATGGCAATAACCCATAATGTGAATTAGCAATATTATTGCTCAAAAGTAGATGCAGCATAATTCATAATAGAAACATTTTGTGATCAGCAGATCTTTAAACAAGTAATGAAATACCAGTGTTTTTTGTTTGTTTGTTGTTTAACGCAGCACTCAGCAATATTCCAGCTATATGACGGCATCTTCCCGAGGTAAGTGAGTTAACTGACTATAAAAGTCCAGTTTCCACCCTTGCCGAACTAGGCTGGTATTATGGAGTTACATTTTGGCTGGGCTAACGAGTCTATGCATAGTCCAATCAAAATCGCGTACCGAAATCGAAATCCGGCTTGTAAAATGTCGTGCAGATTTCGGTCGATTGCAGGATTTGCAAAGCATGTGCACCGCCAACTCGTTGTCAACAGATATTTTCCAAGTCTTTTCATGTTTTTATTCAAGGTGCTCACGTGATTTGGTGCACTGACCATCCGATCCCGCTAGTCGCCTCTTACGACAAGCATAGTCGCTTTTTATGGCAAGTATGGGTTGCTAAAGATCTTCACGGGTCGAAATACCAGTAAGTGAGTTGGGTTCAGATGCAGGTGTTAGAAACAAAGTACCGAATGCTTTATCATGGTGTTTATCAACTTACAGTTTAACCCCAAGTCGGAGTTCCAGCAGAGTCCTGAAGTTGGGCAACGTCAGCCGCAGGTCAGTCGTGCCAAGGCCACAGCAGAACCGGATCTGAACAAACACACACGAGACCCTCATTCAACAAATACATTACAGGTAGCCCAATCAATACACCACCCTCAGGGGGGTGTTGCACAAAGGAGGAGTTATATAATTTGTTTGTTTGTTTGTTGTTTAACGCCACACTCAACAATATTCAAGCTATGTGACGGCAGTCTGTAAATAATTCAGTCTTGACCAGACAATCCAGTGATTGAGATCATGAGCATCGATCCATGCAGATGGGATACGATGATATGCATCAACCAAGTCAGCGAGTCTGACCACCCAGTCCTGTCAGTGTAACACTGCTTGGAACATTATTCCAGTCATATCACGTGTCAAGCTTAATGTGGGAGGAAAGCCCACAGTGATGCAGGTCTCAGATGTTTACCATTTTGGTGAAACCCAAGAGCAGGTGTGCTCAAGGGACACAACTCTGCACAGAGAATTGCAGAGCCTTACGCATCTCGGCCCCTGTCAATCAGGATGTTGAACTGTCACTTGGGTTGTTTATAAGAGAACTAGCTAACCAGAAAGACTGAGGTTTCTTATGTTGTAATGCTGAGACATATTTACAAGAATGTCCAGCTCATAGTTGATCATATTCAGTATAAGGGCCCTTTCTGCCCACAGGAAATGGCAAATGTTAAAATGTCAAGCTCTTGAATAATGGATCAGTGATGTTCTGCATGTCAACTCACTTGACTGATGTTTTTATTGAGAAGAAAGACGCCGTAGTTGAACTGAAACTTCTCCTTCCCCTTGCTGTAGAGCGGGAAGCTGAAACACAGACATCATGAACAATTACCTAGACTCGCCAGTAATACATACCATCAAACAATTACCTAGACTCGCCAGTAATACACACCATCAAACAATTACCTAGACTCGCCAGTAATACACACCATCAAACAATTGCCTTGACTCGCCAGTAATACAAACCATCAAACAATTACCTAGACTCGCCAGTAATACACACCATCAAACAATTACCTAGACTCGCCAGTAATACACACACCATCAAACAATTACCTAGACTCGCCAGTAATACACACCATCAAACAATTACCTAGACTCGCCAGTAATACACACCATCAAACAATTACCTAGACTCGCCAGTAATACACACCATCAAACAATTACCTAGACTCGCCAGTAATACACACCTCAAACAATTACCTAGACTCGCCAGTAATACATGCCATCAAACAATTGCCTTGACTCGCCAGTAATACACACCATCAAACAATTACCTAGACTCGCCAGTAATACACACCATCAAACAATTACCTAGACTCGCCAGTAATACACACCTCAAACAATTACCTAGACTCGCCAGTAATACACACCATCAAACAATCACCTAGACTCAGCTGTAATAAAGCATTTGTTTTGTTTGTTGTTTAACACTGCAGTCAGCAATATTAAAACTAGTTGGTTGGTTGGTTGGTTTGTTGTTTAACTCCACACTCAGCAATATTCCAGCTATATGACGGCGGTCTGTAAAACAATCCAGTCTGGACCAGACAATCCAGTGATTAATATCATGAGCATCAATCCACGCAATTGGGATTGATGACATGCATCAAACCAAGTCAGCGAGCCTGACCACCCGATCCTGGTAGTCGCCTCTTACGACAAGGGTAGTCGCCTTTTACAGCAAGCATGGGTTGCTGAAGACCTATTCTACCCCGGAACTTCACGGGTCTATTCTAAATAGTGGTTGATAGCATGAACAACAATCCCTTTTGGAATGTCACAAGCTTTCAGCCTGGTCAAAGGATTTTTATAGGAGTGCAAACTAAGTGCCTTTTTACAAGGAAATTTTGAAAATATAGTTATTTTGACAAAATGTGTTATATTTTTATTTCTTAATTTGAAAGGTGTTTTAACATTGGAGTTTTAACATTGTTTTCGAAGTAAAAAGTAAGACTATGCATTAAAGCCTTATTACGCGTCCTGTTATTAGTGAAATACAAGTCAGCAATGAACAAGTCCCATTAATAACAATATGAATTGGAAAAGAGCCTCCTGATTTGGGTCAGAATATTGCTCAAATTTAGATAAATCTCTGAGGTCACAAACGATTTAAACGCTAAGGTGATCGTAACTCCTATACTTTAACACAGACTTACGACAGTCGTAGTGCTAAGGTTGTTTTGTACAACGGCGCCATGATCCTAATATTAAAGGTACTTGACACTCATTAACAGGAGAAATTGGAAAGCAGAAAAGTAATTCATTATTCACTGAAACTACTCAATGTATTTTACAAGATGAACATGCTTTCAACATACTCTCTGTCCTTATCCGAGAGCTTCGTGTGTATGTGATCTTTGATCTGTGACCTTGAACCCCGGTGCACCATCATGTATCGCAATGGAAGGTCAAGGAACTGCGACACCATCATGGTCAGGTGACTAGTGTAGCCCAGGCCGACAGCTACCATCGTCTCGTCCTGACCTGCATTGAGTAAAAAGCTATAGTGTCTTGTCCTCTGTTTGTTGTTTACCGCCACAGTTTTGTTTGTTTGTTTGTTTGTTGTTTAACGCCGCACTCAGTAATATTCCAGCTATATGACAACTGTCTGTAAATAATCGAGTCTGGACCAGAAATACAGTGATTGACACCATGAGCATGGATCTACGCAATTGGGATAGATGACATGCATCAACCAAGTCAGCGAGCCTGACCACCCGATCCCGTTAGTAGCCTCTTATGACAAGCATAGTTGCCTTTTATGGCAAGCATGGGTTGCTGAAGACCTATTCTCCCCTGGATCTTCACGGGTCGTTACCGCCACAGTAAGCAATATTCCAGCTATATGATGGTGTCTTGTAAATACTCAAGTCTGGACCAGACAAAGCTGTGATTGATATTGTGAGCAATGATCCATGCTTAGTACCAGCCTAGGCAGCTAGGGACCTTATTCTGACCTCAAAACCCCACAGGGTGCATTCTTGACAACAGGTGATTAATGTCACTATAGAAACCCTGTAAAGGAAGTGTTTGTAATTGGCAGGCGAATGAGATTTAGTTCCGGCAGCATTTAAGAGATATCATGGCTACCTGCTAGTGATCCAATCAGGGTGAGGCGAGAAGAGGAGAGGAGAGGAGTGGCAAGGAGTGGCAAGGAGAGGAGAGGAGTGCAGAGGAGAGGAGTCAGGAGGTGAGGCGAGAGGTGATGTGAGGTTTAGTGAGGAGAGGCGAGGCGAGGCGAGGCGAGGCGAGGAGTGGAGAGGAGTGAAGTGGAGAGGCGGGGAGCGGAGAGGCGAGGAGAGGAGAGGAGAGGAGTGGAGAGGAGAGGCAAGGAGAAGAGTGGAGTGAAGAGGAGTGGAGTGGAGAGGCGAGGAGTGGAGAGGAGAGGCAAGGAGAGGTGAAGCGTGGAGAGGTGATGTGATGTGAGGTTTGGTGAGGAGAGGCAAGGCGAGGAGAGGAGTGGAGAGGCGAGAGAGGTGAGGCAAGGAGAGGCGAGGAGAACAGAGGCAAGGTGAGGAGTGGAGAAGAGAGGCGAGAGGAGGTGAGAGGAGAGGAGAGGAGAGGAGAGGAGAGGAGAGGTGAGGTGTGTTGAGGTGAGATGAGGTGAGGTGAGGAGAGGTCATGTGAGGTTTGGTGAGGTGGTGAGGTGAAGTGAAGTGACATGGGCTTTAACGTTACTTTCACAATTCTTGCCTTCATATAGCACTCTACATGTGTGTGACTGTACGAGTTGTACTATGCCAGTATTATAGTGCTCGCCCACTGAGACAATATGCCACAATTTTATCCCACTCAGACATGATATTCTGACTCGGAGCCAACCAGTCTTTGTTTTTTCCCCTTAATGCGGAGCACCAGTCAGGATTGCAATGGCTACCACCTAAAATCTATGGTATGAGAAGTTGCTCTATCCACTACACCACAGAGGGGGTCAGAAGACCTTCTACTCTCCGGGCAGATGCCGAGTCCACTACGCCACAGAGGCGGTCAGGGGATAGAACGGACCTACCACTCTCTGGGCAGACACCTACTCCACTACACCAATGATGAGACAGGTCAAAGTCTAACCATTCCTTAACCAAGGAAATTATGTGAGGGCTTGTGTGTAGAGTGAGGCAGGCAAATTTACACAGACATCTTCCCGAGGCAAGAGAGTTAACTGACTATTAAAGTCCAGTTTCCACCTGGTCTGGTATTATGAAGTTACATTTTGTCTGGACTAATGAGTCGATACATAGTCCAATCAAAATCGCGTAACGAAATCAAAACCCGGTTCGTAAACTGTAATGCAGATTTCGGTCGATTGCAGTATTTGCAAAGCATGTGCACTGCCAACTCATTGTCAACAGATATTTTCCAAATCTTTTCATGTTTTTCATCAAGGTGCTCACGTGATTTGATGCACTTTGCTATATAAGACCTGGTTTATCACAATATAGATCTTGATTATCGATCAGATTGTCTTGAATGGGCGCCGCCATTTTGTTTGAAGCAAATGCGCTACGATTGTTTGGCGCTACGACTGAGCCCAGGAATTCCAGCCCAGTTCAGCAAGGGTGGGAACTGGACTTTTAAAGTCAGTTAACTCTCTTGCCTCGGGAAGATGTACACAGACAACACTGTCAGTGTCAGTGCTGTTTGAAAAATGGGAACATTCAGTCATTTGGAAATTTGTGTTCGCAATTGTTGTTTTCTTGTTTACAATCACCAGTAAAATGTAAAATGTGAGGGTTGATTGATAAGCTCTAAGCTTCACATAGAGGGAATTGTGCAATACTAAAATCTTATCCAGTTCCACAAGTTGTCCATTTTCTAAAGGTGACAGACCCTGCTTATTATACTGACTTGTCACAGCGAAACAATTTGCTAGACTGACTCACATTTTTGTGGATGTACCTCTATGACGTCATGTCTACAACAACAGATTTCACTATTAGTGAGTGAGTGTGTTGGGTTTAACGCCGCTTTTAACAGTATTCCAGCTATATCATGGTGTGTCAGCTTAGTGTCGGAGGAAAGCCCGAAGTGATGCAGGTCTCAGACATTTACCACTTCGGTGAAACCCACGGGCACGGGTATGGTGCTGACAAACCTAGACACATATTCGGGGCGAACCGGGATTCGAACCCACAATCATAGGTTTCTGGCATGCCCAAGGGACGCAACTCTGCACAGCGAATCGCGGCGCCTTAGACAACTTGGCCACCCGTGCCCCCTATTTCACTATTAAGCAGTTCCTTCTTCATGAGACTGAGAACCTATCTGTTAACCCTGGTATGATCTGTTACAAGGTTATATCTACTACACTATTCACAGGCAGGGAAACACGGCTTAATTATCCCAGGTCGGTTCTCACCTTGGTAATCCTCGGCATTAGGCAGCCACACGCCACATATACAAATATGCTTCTTCTTGTTCTGTAACCATAGCAACAACTCATTAACAAACACCTTCATAACCATGTCATTTACTTCAATTTCTGCTTTTCTTGTCCTGAAGGTTGAAAATAGTAGCATTTTGTTAAGATTTTTAAGATTTTGTATTACAAATAACAGAAAAATTACATGTAGCATTGTTATGTGGCTTACCTCTGCTAAGGGATATATGTACATGACCTACCTCAGCTATGGGATATACGTACATGACCTACCTCTGCTATGGGATATACGTACATGACCTACCTCTGCTATGGGATATATGTACATGACCTATCTCTACTATGGGATATATGTACATGACCTACCTCTGCTATGGGATATACTTTCATGACCTACCTCTGCTATGGGATATACGTACATGACCTACCTCTGCTATGGGATATACGTACATGACCTACCTCTGCTATGGGATATATGTTCATGACCTACCTCTGCTATGGGATATACCTACATGACCTACCTCTGCTATGGGATATATGTACATCCTCTACCTCTGCTATGGGATATACATACATGACCTACCTCTGCTATGGGATATACATACATGACCAACTCTGCTATGGGATATACGTACATGACCTACCTCTGCTATGGGATATATGTACATGACCTACCTCTGCTATGGGATATACGTACATGACCTACCTCTGCTATGGGATATATGTACATGACCTATCTCTACTATGGGATATATGTACATGACCTATCTCTACTATGGGATATATGTACATGACCTACCTCTGCTATGGGATATACTTTCATGACCTACCTCTGCTATGGGATATACGTACATGACCTACCTCTGCTATGGGATATATGTTCATGACCTACCTCTGCTATGGGATATACCTACATGACCTACCTCTGCTATGGGATATATGTACATCCTCTACCTCTGCTATGGGATATACATACATGACCAACTCTGCTATGGGATATACGTACATGACCTACCTCTGCTATGGGATATATGTACATGACCTACCTCTGCTATGGGATATACGTACATGACCTACCTCTGCTATGGGATATATGTACGTGGCCATCTCTCCCACCAACTGCTTCCTCCGTATCAGCAGCTGTGCATTCTCCTTCACCAGCGTCTCCCTGCAACAGAAGAATCACCATTACGTCACCATCCGTACCAGAACAGAGTTTCATGGCCTGAACACTTCACCATGCACTTCTTCTGCATACTCTCTGATTCTGATACTTCGAGTCCAATTCAAAAATTAACCCCTGTACCACTTACCATATTTAACAGAAGTATTTTGAAAATTATTACATCAAAATAATTGAGATGATGAGATTCAAATTGGTTTCTCACTGACCTTGTTTGTACATAGGCCTTTTTCTTTTCTTCGTGGTGAGTCTTGCTTTTCTCTAGGTTGGACTCCTGATCATGGAAAGCGTGTTCTGGGAGAGAGAACAAGACCCATGAATCAGTGAGTGGGTTAAGTTTAACATCGCTTTCAACAGTCTTTTAGTTATATGACGGTATATTGATTTGATATAGGAGGAAAACCTGAAATGATGAAGGTCTTAGATGTTTACCACTTTGGTGAAACCCAAAAACCTAAAACATAATCAAGGCAAATTTAGGATTTGAACCAATGATCATAGGTTTCTGGCACACCTAAGGGAGGCAACTCTGCTTAGTTAATGGCAACGGTTTAGAGTTTAGATGACAGGGTCAATCTTGCCCCTCAAGAAGCATGAGGCAGGGGCAGCAAGATGCAGAAATATGATGTATTCTTCTCTGAAATGTGCTGTTATTGTGGCCATTTTAAAAGACAAAGTTAAAGGAAATGCAGACAGTGTTAAGTTGGTAAGAAATGGGCTTCACACATTGTACCCATGTCGGGAATTGAACCTGACGATAGTCTCAAGGTTTCGCTCACAACTGTCAGATGCCCCAATTGTCAGACGTGCCAATCTTCGGACAGGTCAGTGAAGTGTGGCCAGTATTACTGCCTAGTCTTACCTACTTAATTAATGAGCATCTCCCAACTGTGAGCTCAGAAAGATACTCCAACAGGTCAGCTAATGAACCCGATTATGATTGTGTGGATTAATTACCTCACCGCCCTGTGCAGGAGTTAAAGTAGGACCAACCTCTCAGAGTGCTCTCCCCTCTCTGTCTGTCGTACTTGTCCTTCTCCAGCTGCAGCTGGTTCATCTGCCACGTCAGCTCACTGCGCAGCTGAGACACCTTCACCAGCAACTCCTCCCGCCGTGACAGCTGCAACATCACACACACACACACACATATACCCAGCGTCATATCTGTTTCTTGTGACATCATCACTTATCTGATGTGTTCGTACTTCACATTTCTGGGGTCCTGCAGTCCCAAATCTAGAGGTGTAGCGCTACACTATACGATTCTATGGTTGTGATACTATTTGTATCCCGTTACAGAACTTTTATTTCCTAAGTTGATATTATTATTTTTTCGCAGGTGAATCAAGGCTTATGACAAGACATGCACAACCGAAGTCTTTAATGTTGTCATTAGAAAGATGTTTAAAGGACATCACCAAAGTGCAATCACTGATTTACAGTTCAATAACTATCTGATTAACAACTACATACACCAATATAACTTACTTGGGGAATATAACAGACAGAACCCACCTACTTGGGGAATATAACAGACAGTACCCACTTACTTGGGGAATATAACAGACAGTACCCACTTACTTGGGGAATATAACAGACAGTACCAACCTACTTGGGGAATATAACAGACAGTACCCACTTACTTGGGGAATATAACAGACAGTACCCACTTACTGGGGGAATATAACAGACAGTACCCACCTCCTGGGGGAGCATAACAGACAGTACCCACCTACAGGGGGAATATAACAGATAGTACCCACCTCCTGGGGGAATATAACATAGAGTACCCACCTCCTGGGGGAATATAACAGACAGTACCCACCTACTGGGGGAATATAACAGACAGTACCCACCTACTGGGGGAATGTAACAGACAGTACCCACTTCCTGGGGGAACATAACAGACAGTACCTACCTCCTGGGGGAATATAACAGACAGTACCCACCTACTGGGGGAATATAACAGAGAGAACCCACCTTCTGGAGGGAATATAACAGACAGGACCCACATACTTGGTGAATATAACAGACAGTAGCCACCTACTTGGGGAATATAACAGAGAGTACCCACCTTCTGGTGGGAATATAACAGACACAACCCACCTACAGAGGGAATGTAACAGACAGTACCCACCTTCTGGCCAGTTTCCTGAGATGACAATAAACGATCTTCTATGGAGCTATGGATTCTGTTCACAGTGGCCTGAGTTTGTTGTGTGGCTCGCAATATTGTCTGAATACTGAAAGAACAGAATGTACAAAATTGAAAGTTTTACTGAAAACTAAGAAAGAGTGTCTGACAGAAACATGTCTAAATACTCCAACCACAAGACTGACACTGTCTGATCAACCTACCGTGAGACAGAGTTGGATGTGTATGCGCCTCGAATCATGGTCTGGTCTACTTTAAACACAAAACTTGGCCCCTCCGGATTGGGAAGATTGGTTTGTATCTCAGACATCTGCAAGATATGGCAAAGTCACTCCATGAATGTAACAGCATGTACATCAGAAGTTGTGCTGCCTTGGCATATATCTTAACACAACTATACTCACCGCGAAGAGAAACGCGAACCGTAGAAACATATAGTGATGTATATACGTTAAGATTGGTAGGTTTGTTGTTTAACACCGCACTCAGCAATATCCAGCTATATGACGGCGGTCTGTAAATAATTGAGTCTGGACCAGACAATCCAGTGATTGACATCAGGATCAGGATCGATGACATGCATCAACCAAGTCAGATAGCCTGACAACCCGATCCCATAAGTCGCCTCTTACGACAAGCATAGTTGCCTTTTACGGCAGGCATGGGTTACTGAAGAGCTATGCTACCCCAGATCTTCACGGGCCGTATGTTAAGAAGAGATGTTTACAATGTGCACCACTTAATGACAAAACTAGCAGTCAGTCAAGTGTTACCACAATGTCCTTATTCTTATCGCGATATGATGCATGTGATTTCCAAACTTCTCACGCTAATCCTGCACGAGACAGATGGTGGATCTCAAGTCATGGGTCTATGACGTCACGTGTGATACGTTCATGGGAGTGGATTCACACAAGATACCAGTATGTTCGTTTGTGCATTGAAACAATCTAATATCTCTTGAATATGAGTAATTCTTGGTCTATTAACCAACATGTATGGTATTAGCGTTTCTTTTGGCGGTGAGGATATAATCATTTGATAATGAACATGATATGTTGTAGGACGTTCATGGCCCACTAGAAATTCAATCTGAGGAGCCTGTAGAGAATTGGCAGCATGGATTACATATTATGATGGAAACTTGGCCTTAGCCAGAGCCTTTGTATAATCTTCATGTGTTTAATGTTTTCTCATCTATTCACCACTATAAGACTTTCAGAACAAGTGTGGTGCTGGTCTAGATCCTGTAATCATAGTCAAAAAGCAATGGCAGAATTTGGACTTTAGGCACTAAAATATAATGGGAAAGAAAGCAAACAAAACAAAACAAAACAAAACAAAACAAAACAAAACAAAACAAAACAAAACAAAACAAAACACACAGTCCAACTACATGTCACCCAAAAGTCATCCCACCCCACAGTCCCCTCACCCCACCCCAGTCACCCCACCCCACAGTCCCCTCAGCTCACCCCGCAGACCCCTCACCCAACATTCACCCCACAGTCCCCTCAACCCACAATCACCCAATCCAACAGTTCCCTTAACCCACCCCACAGTTCCCTCACCCCACCCCACAGTCCCCTCACCCCACCCCATAGTTCCCTCACCCCACTCCAAAGTTCCCTCACCCCACCCCACCCCACAGTCCCCTCCCCCAAACCCCACAGTTCCCTCACCCCACGCCACCACACAGTCCCACATCAGACTTCAATTTTAGGTCAGTGGAGAGACCAGCAACACAAGTATAACTTGTTCCCCTTCATCACCTGTCTTTGTAGTTCAGGCGAGGCCTTGGACTCATCAGCAGAGACAAAGTACTTGTCAAACATGCCGAAGATGACGGTGTTTGGATTGTACTTGACGCCGCTGTGCTGCAGCTGAAATTGTAGAAAGTAACCATGATAGATCAAATGGCAGAATAATGATCTAGAAATATATACCGTATTCGACGTAATAAGCGCCCTGCTCTAATAAGCGCCCACGGCAATATTTGCTAATATATTGGCCTGTGAACTATCCCAATTGGCACCCTTCCGATTGATCACTGTACACAAGACTTATTTTTTTGCGTATATTACGCACTCATGTGTTACATGTACCCTTAATTATGGGCAATTAAATTCTGTAAAAATATATCTGTCGTACATAAACATTTCAGGCTGTCAGCATAAACCACGAAATTTATCTTTCAACCGTTTTTTTCACCAAAATAATATTCTAATAAGAGCCCCCTGTTCCTAATTTTGAGAGAGCCCTGAGCGCTTATTACGTCGAATATGGTACATCTTTTTTGCATACTCATGAATAACCAGAAACCAGTTAAGCAGTGCCTCAAGAACTCACATTGCGAAAGAGAGAGAGAGAGTGGGGAGTGATAGGAATGGGCTCCATGTAATGAATCAATCTAGGAATAGAACCCAGACTTCTGTTACAGGCAAACACATGAACCTGGTACTTGAAAGCTGACATATGATCATGGTGATTGACACAGATTTAACTACGGAGATAAGGTTAAGATCAACGGTTCACATACCTTCTCGGCAAAGAAGGCCAGACCGGCAAGGTGGATGGTGAGGTCTATCAGCAGGGTGAACCGATCGTCCTGACACACCCACACCCTCACCACAACAGCTGGCAAAGGTCAAGGTGGAGATAACCAACACTCAGAGAAGTACAGCCAGCAGGCATCTCATCCCCACAAAACGGTCCCCCTCATCCCACACAACAGTCTCCTACTCTCCTCACCCCACAGTTGTCTCCTCACTTCACAGTCCCCCCACCCCACAGAACCGTTCTCCCTCACCCAACCCTACAGTCTCCTCACCCCACAGTTACCCCACCCCACTGAACTGTCGCCCTCACCCCACACAACAGTCTCCTCACCCTACAGCCGTCTCCTCACTCCACAGTCGTCTCCTCACTTCACTGTCCCCCCACCCCACAGCACCGTTCTGCCTCATCCCACACAACAGTCTCCTCACCCCACAGTCCCCCCACCCCACAGAACCGTTCTCCCTCATCCCAACCCACAGTCTCCTCACCCAACAGTCCCCCCACCCAACTGAATGGTCCCCCTCACCCCACACATGTCCCCCCACCCCACAGAACCGTTCTCCCTCACCCCACCCCACAGTCTCCTCACCCCACAGTCCCCCCACCCCACTGAATGGTCCCCCTCACCCCACACAACAGTCTCCTCACCCCACAGACATGATTATAAACAGGATGTCCATTAACATCCCTGTATGATAAAGCAAGGCCAGTTTATAGCTTGCAGCCTAACACCATGTACCAACACAACATCCAACACCCATTGTGGCCATAGTGACCAGATGTTTCAGAATTTTTCTATTTTAGCTACTTGTCTATTTTAAGCTACTGGTTTATTTACTGTATATCAGCTACTGGTCTATTTCTGTATTTCAGCTATTGTCTCCCTATAAAGACCTGGGTTAGAATAGGTCTTCAGCAACCCATGCTTGTCGTAAGAGATGACTAAAGGGATCAGGTGGTCAGGCTCACCGACTTGGTTGATGCAAGTCATCGTATCCCAATTGCTTTGATCAATGCTCATGATATAAATCACTGGATTGTGAGGCCCAGACTCGATTATTTACAGACTGACGTCATACAGCTGGAATATTGTTGAGTGCAGAATTAAACAACAAACAAACAAACCGCAACTGGTAATATTGTCTCTGACAAGGATACATTTGGATTTCAAATTGACATCTTTTTCATATCTGCTGATGTCAAAGCTCTTCCATGTAGGATTCTGGAAAAAAGCAAATATTACTGAATACCATGTGTAAAATATCTACAAATGTAAGAATGAGGTTGGTCTGTGGTCTAACCCCTGCTGTGTTTTTACTTGGCTAGCTCGCAGTGCAACATTTTAATCATGAGACGATGTAGAAGTACTTCTGTTTAACAACAGCAGACGTATGGTCCTCAAACGCATGACCTCAAAAAGCTACCATGGTGCCGTTGTACAAAACAACCTCAGCACTACGACTGTCATAAGTCTATGTTAAGGTATGGGAGTTATGATCATCTTAGCGCTAAAATCTATTTGTACAACGGCACACTTATCACAAAAACCTCTGGTCCAAAACTGGTTTAACCCCGCTGTTAACAGTATTCCAATTATCACTGCGTATCAGCTTAATGTGGGAGGAAAGCCCGAAGTGATGCAGGTCTCAGACATTTACCATATCAGTGAAACCCACGGGCACGGGTATGGTGGTAATAAACCTAGAAACATAATCAGGGCGAATCAGGATTCGAACCCACAATCTTAGGTTTCTGGCGTGCCCAAGGGACGCAACTCTGCACAACTAATTGGGGCGCCATAGACGACTGGGCCACCCATGCCCCTCATAACAAATTATCAATCAAAGCAAACATGCAATATATTGTGGTATCAACAAATCACGAAATTGCAACACGAAAGTCAGGCCAATAACCTTCCTTAATTTCAAACTTTCAGTTTTATATTTCACAAGGAAAACTCTGCTTACCACTGAGCCGACAGCTTTCTCGCTTGTGTAAAATGCTGAAAAACAGATGCAAAAATAACATAAACAATATATACCAGCGATAGAAACTAACATTATTAGTCTACTAGTCCTCATAAGATAACATACGTGTATAGCAAAGCCCTTAAAAATGGCAAATTTCTATTAGACCTTATGACACCTCAACTATGGGGCTGTTAGGCAAGCGCTTTAGGACTAAGTAATTTACCAATATCTATTGCTGTATACATATAGTGACATTATATGGTCTTTATTAGCTAAGCTTAGTAAGGCGAAACTTTTTTTATTTCTTGGTTTATCGATTTCAAACTCATTTCAAAAGTGAGGCAGGCCAATTTAAAAAAAAAAGCAAAAAAAAAAGCCTCTCACATTTTTTTTACTTGACTTTTATCCTAAAATGTTAGGTAGGTATGAAAAAAAATATCCTGGCGTAACAAAAGTAAAATAACTCAATTTTTCAAGAACATTTTATTATATCCCTGGCACTCAGCTTGTGCACAAATGGCAACATAACAATATTCATGTCATGGATGGAAATGCATGAAAGGCGCTGCTATTTTGGCAGCATGGGCAACGTTTAACTCTTTCAACACCAGCCAACCAGAAGATTACTGCTGTGACACCAAGTTCCCAGAGACTCTTGTGTGATAGATGAAGCCAACTTTATCAAGGAAATTATCTGCTGAAATTAACATCTTTGCTACTACATGTTTGGCCATACACTATTTGAAAGGTCTAATTAATCCTATTGTTTATAAATATGAAAGTTATGTGTATTACATTATTTAAATAATTCATTAACAACTAAATAAAGTTCGTTTTAAATAAAAATAATGTAAGCTTAAACATTCATAACGTCCAGATTAAGGACCAATGAAGCGCAAATCTAACGATTTTTTCGGCAAATATAAGAATTCATAAAATCCTCTTACCCATTTCTTTTTTATTTCCATTTGTTTACGTTGTTGGAACGTTATTTTAAAAAGAATTACAAATAATATCTGTCATCACCCATTTCCCGATGATAGTGGCTGTCCGCTCACTAACATGAGGAAATACCTCCGTTTTCAAAGCTTCGTATGAATAACACATACGTCGAAAGGCTGCCATGTCAGTGTACATTAAAAAAACTTATATTGTTTCACCGACAAAATCTGCTACAAGGTTCGTGATTGGTCAAATTTAAGCACGTGACCTAAAGCAGCCAATCAAATTACAGAAACGGTAATTTTCAGACTTTGGCAAAAGGTTTGGGTTAAATCATGTTATTCTGAATGTTTTAGCATGAAACCGCAATCTATATTAAAAATATGGAACTTTATGGATGCATAGAGCTAGGTTACAAGCTGTGACAAAGATTTCTTATGCATATATTTTGGCATTAAGACATCGTGTCCAAAGGCGAGATGTCATTTGACTGACGATTACATGCGATCGCACGAAAAGTTGGAAATAATAACTAAGATGTCAGTTTGGCAACTTTTATAGATATATTTTTGATGATTTTATTACTTTGTAAATAAAGACGTTTCAGCATTTTGCTGTTTGACATGTTCGATGAGGACCCGTTGAGAATTTTATTTCCAGTAACATTGCGGGGAAATAGTGTCTAGTGAATACATTTTTGATCTATAGATAAAGAAATCATAAAATCAAATGGAATACGTATTTCAGACATTGTGAAATATGATAGATTTAATAAATGAATGATATGACAAGTAGGTTAATATAATTATAAACTATTTTGACGTGACTTGGACGATCTACCGTGCGGTGTGACTTGTGGCTTTGAACGGCCAACAGTGTTGAAATAGTTAAACTGGTCACCACTGCGCTTTGCATTGACAAACTTTGATGGTATTAGAGAAGGATCCCATCAAGAAATATCAGAGTGACTTCCCTTTGCTTTACTCTCGACGAGGAAATGAAATCTTTTTTTTTGTTTGAACTTTTTGTCGAAAAGATCGGCGGTAATAAAAAATAGGGTAATTTTCTTTTTCTTTTTTTTAACATTTGGACTGAAAGAGCAGCGCATCCGTAAACCAAGAAATAAAAAAATTGTCGCCTAAACAGATTTTTACTAGATTCAGGCTTGAGTCACCTACAGCCACCATGACAATAACAAAAGATGTGCAGTCAAGCAGTGCTCATGTAAAGGGAAATAACTGCGTGCTATACTGTATCATATTGTGTTTAAGTATTAGGAATTTAAATTTTTTTGAAAATGGAAATAAAAATGAAACATGCGGCAGATTTAATGATGATGTGGGTGGTGCCAAGGTGCCAAGAATGTTATCTTTTGTAGCCTTAGATCTCCACACGACCCCCCTATGATGCTTATAGAACCACTGGCTGGAGGAGCTCTTCTCACCTGAAGAGGTTGTGTCGCGATGCAGCGTGAAGAAGGTCTGCATCTTCATCACCTCGATACCACGGTAGGTGTTGCATACCAAGTTCCTCACAGCGACACTTCGGAGATGACGAATTCGTTTCTGAGGAAAACAAAAAGAATATACACTACAAAATGTGCCAAACCTTTTCTGGTCACTTAATACGCCGTGTACACTTCTAATTTGACATTATACAGCCATGAAGCAAAAATAAAAACATAAAGAATAGATACATACAGTAAGTTTTTTTTGTTGTTGTTTAATGCCACACTCAGCAATATTCCAGCTATATGACGGCAGTCTGTAAATAATCGAGTATGGACCAGACAATCAAGTGATTGACATAATGAGCATAAATCCACACAATTCGGATACAATGACATGCATCAACCAAGACTGCGAGCCTGATCACCCGATCCCGTTAGTCAAGTCTTACAACAAGCATAAGATGTGTTGATGGTTGGTGCATGTCATGGTATCCCGATCGCGTGGATCCATGCTCATGATGTCAATCACTGGATTATCTGGTCCAGAGTTGATATATTTACTCTCCTTCAAAGAGAAACACACTGTTTCATTTTCTGGACTAACAATCAAGTCTTTGAATGGCATAGAATAGGGCTGGGACGAGTCCAAATTTACTACCCAGGTACCCATCCCCCTATTACCCGACCCTACCCGGGTACCCACTGTAGGTCTCAGGAGATGTCTCAAAATGTCTGAATGGGAACATTTTTAGCATAGCCCTGGCAAAATGTATTAAGATACATGTATTGAACAATCTGGTCATTCATACACTGAAAATACATATGAAAAATCAGAAGGAATGGGTGCATAGTCAGAAAGAAATGCGAACATTAGTGACTTGTAGTGTAACCATAGAGTTCTAGATAATCTTTTTCATTAACCAATATATCACGTGACTAACCACGGGTCCGGGTAGTCCTGTGGGTACCCGGGTCCTACTCAATACCCACCCGACCCGGGTACCTGAGTTACCCGTCCCAGCCCTAGCATAGAAGCATAAAGAAGGGAATCTATAGAATCTTCTTTATTATGAGGAACACGTTTCAGAGTATATCAGCATTCCCGTTTACCGGTAATAAGGCGCTTTTTACCAGTAAAATAGGCTTGGACCAGTAATTCATGTGACTGTCAGTCCCTGTGGACCGGCAAATAAAGTTCCTTATCAATCTTTGTTGTTGAACAAAACATCGGTGATATTCATATACAAGTACATCTTTGAAACAAAGTCAGCTTGTTTATTACCATCAGGTTTCCCCTCGTCTAGGTTAAATATCCATTTGTAGCGACTTTGTCTCGAAATATTAAAAAAGAAGAGAAAATTGTGACTAAAGTTTGTGTGAATGACGTATAGATCTAACAAAGTTACTTCAGAGATGTCATCTTTGCATAAAACATGATGTTAAAAGCATAAGAACCAAATAATTTTCATACGTTTTTTTACTTGTTGAATGTGGTACTGGCTAAAATTAGGGGGGATTGGTAATTTTTAGTTTCAGTTTCAAAAGCCAGCGGGAACACAGTAGTTTCAGATCAATTTCCTATTTAGTTTCGGGGTCACTGTACAGCTTCCTTCATTATTTCTGTCATGCATATTTGTTGAAAATAAAAAAAATTTAGTCTCATATTTCATGAGGTTTTCATGAAATTACATATTTTTGAATATTATGTAAAAAAATTTTCAGTCTGCAATTTCAGCCATTGGTCTGAAGCCTAAGGGCAGTCAAATTATCAGATAATTATAGAACATATTCCACTACATTTTACTGAAAAAGATGCTCAGAGCCAAGTTGGGCCATCTTCCCGAGGCAAGAGAGTTAACTGACTATAAAAGTCCAGTTTCCACCCTTGCCGAACTAGGCTGGTATTATGGAGTTACATTTTGGCTGGACTAACGAGTCTATGCATAGTCCAATCAACGCGACGAAATCGAATTCCAGTTAGTAAACTGTCGTGTAGATTTCGGTCGATTGGAGGATTTGCAAAGCATGTACACTGCCAACTCGTTGTCAACACATATTTTCCAAATCTTTTCATGTTTTTAATGAAGGTGCTCACGCAGTTTGAGTCACTTCACGAAATAAAACTCGTTTTATCACAATATAGAACTTGATTATCGATCAGATCGTCTTGACAGGGCGTCACCATTATGTTTGATACAAATGCAAGTGATACGAGTGGTGGAATCTGATTGGTCAGTAGGAGAGGCTTAGAAGGGACATGACTCATAATAACCACTGGTGTTGCTACGATCGAGCCCAGGAATACCAGCCAAGTTCGGCAAAGGTGGAAACTGGACTTTTATAGTCAGTTAACTCCCTTGCCTCAGGAAGATGAGTTGGGCTGGTAGTCTCAAACATTTTGGGCACAGACTATTATTTTGTGTACAGAGATACATGTATTTAGTAACTATTTACTATAACATACAGGTGTAGAATACTGGTAATTTCAGTTAGGAATCTAGTCAAAAGTGTATCTCAAATTGCAGCTTAACATGGGAGGAACGCACAAAGTGATACTGAATGGGTCGATGTTCATGTTGTGACAAACAACTACAGAAATGTACCCTAGCCAAAATCACAACACAGAAATTACCTCTATCAGCAATAGAATCTAACATGTTTAGTCCACTAGTCCTTATAATGATAACATACAATGATATAGCAAAACCCTTAAAAAGGGCAGTTTTCTTCTAGTCCTTTTGACACTTGATTGATAGGCATTTAGAAGCTGGAGTAGTAAGTAAGGATAAGATTTATGGATGAACAACTTCAATATTACAATTAAGAGCGTCGTTTCAGTGTAGGTTCTAACAGTTTTATCAAGCAAGCGACATACAGAGTATGGTTGACAAGTAGATATACAAGTAGGAAGCAATGTTCATACAGTAGAGTAGATATCAGATGTAGTTATACTGGATTGGGGAATCCTATTATGTAAACAAAAGGGGTAGTTAAGACATTACCGGTGAAGTCAGTAACATAAACAAAAAAATGAAGCCAGTAATATAAACAACATGATAACTCCTTAACTATTGGGCAATTTGGCAAGGACTATAGGACTAGTGCCAGTTTCTACCAGAGCTCCAGATAACGTTTTGAGCAATTGAGTTTTTACTCGAAGGTTTCTATTTAAATTGGGTTATTACATTTTTCATTGTGTAACCAATATTTTTTCCCTCAACTATCCATCACTCTACTGGGTTTTTCCAAAATGAGTAAGCATTTTGAGATTTAAAAAAAATAATGAAATAATATTTTAGATCTATAGAACAGTTCTAAATATAGGCTTGACTCGGAAAGTGAATTAGCTCATAATTGTGTTTTGGAAATTAGCTCCTTTGTACGCATGCTGAACAAGCTTCACTGGGTATTTACGCATGCTGTTTTCAAACAATTGAGTTTTTAATTTAATGCATGCGTTTCTGTATGCAAGTTAATTGAAAGTAATTGGGTTATTTTACTCAAATATGCAGCTTATCTGTAGCTATGTTCTAGCACTGTCTGTTCAACATTACCTTAAAGGGGCACTGATCTTACGCATTTCCCCGGGCTGGTTGTTGCCTTTGTTATTGTTTTTTTCCCTGTGAATACCCGGATGATACGCAACGCAACTGAGCGTGACCAGAGACTGGGCTACCGTCTGCAAGGACAGCTAAATAAACTTGGAGGCTGGAGGCAATATTTGTTTTACGCATTTTTGCATAAACACTGATTGGTTAACTGTGATCTATAAAGATTTCGACAAAGGGCGCATGTTAATTAATTTCTCCAGCCTAAACAAACAGACAAAAAGAACACGGAGCTCATCGGATGTCGTCATTTGGAAATACCCCAGATGGTTATAGTTTAATACTAAAAAAAGTATCCATGCAGTGAAAGCATTTTCGGATTTCCGATTGCGTCGATAATACGATTACTACTACCCTGTTGTCATCCACGTTTTCTCGTATAACCCTACACTTGTGTATTTGTCGTCATTCACTTGATGCTCAGTTAATGAATTTATTACAGGTACAATTAGTTGTAGCACCACTTAGATTACCTGACAAAGGTTCCCATTTGGCATTTATTGTGCTGGGGTAATTATTCAATCTAAATCCAGGTTTGGAGTGAGGTGAAATGTGTGTTATGTTATATGCACGTGGCAGACCAGCAAGAGGTGAATGATCAGTTGAGTTGATTTACTTTTTTTTGTAAATCAACGGATCGTTCCTAGCCATCAAAGGATTAACAGAAAATACGTTGATTGATTAATCACTGTTATCTTGCACAGTGGATATGTCAAAAGTGAGTGTTTACATGTCTAGGTTTACTAAAACAAAGGGAATACACTCACATCATGGCGTGAAGTGCCGATGTAAAAACAACATACTTTGTTCAAAGGGTTAACTGATAATACGTTGATTGATTGCTCATTGTTATCTATCACTCAATGGATTTTTTAGGAACCGTGGATGTTATGAAAATAGTTGTCACGTGGGCTTTCTCAGCCGACCCTTGAGACTTGACACCTATGTGAAACACCTGAAACAATCTAAGTGATCAGTTGAGAAACGAACACGGGTTATAATATCCCGAAACGATATATATCTTTTAAAATATTTGATTGTTACAGAGACATGTGACATCGAATAAATTTCTTTGTACAGCTGCAGACGAGTAGGATATTGTTCCTTTGTGTGCATGGATATTCACGGATACATTCCTCGAACAAGGAAGCTGCCTAGAATTTATACACATAAATTTGGTAGGCTGTAATTATGGTATTTGCATTTTGTTTTCCTTCATTTGAACCGATTCGTTCTTGTTCCTCTACATCTTGGTTGGGAAATTCTTCAATGCGCGATAGACGTTGTTTTCACAAGTCTTTACCTTTGTAAGCGTGTATATATTACCGTCAATTTGTAAAATCTGATTCTCTCAGGCAATTTATAAAATGTGTAAATATTTCAGGCATTTTGACTGAAAAATCTGTCCAGATTGACTAAAATTGATTAAGACGATCCAACGGGCCTAAAAACACCACAACAGATTATTATGTAGGATGAGAAGCCAAACAACATAGAAATGTACTTTTCAACGTAACATTTTCAGTCTCTTGGTGATGACATTAAACATCAAAATGTTTGGAATTCGTTATCATAATAATACAGATGGAAATGTTTGTTAGTCACTTTGTAAAATAACTGAATATTTAGACGTTTAATAAATTTGTTACATATTTTGACAGTAAAAAAATATACACACTATAAAAAAAGCAATGCTCAGGTGAAATATTTACTTTGTGTTGCAAGTCGAAATAGTGTAAACAAAAATCGCAAAATTACCAAGCAAGTGACTTATTAAAACTTCGTCACCATTACCGATGCTACCCACAAAGATACTTACATTTCCTTATTATCTCGAAAACTGTATTTAATTTTGTCGCGAACTAGTCTAGATTTCTGCTATACATCCGGGTACTCACTGGGAAAAAACAATAACAAAGGCAACAACCAGTCCCGGGGAATTGCGTTAGATCAGTGCCCCTTTAAACTATGTATCCTACAATGGCTCCTTCAGTCAAAGTTTTCAACAAGACATCTACCAATTCCTGTGCTGACAATCAAGGAGTCATATTACAGGCAAATCTTTGCGCCCTCTGCCTCTGGTTGGTATGTTCCAGAAATTGTATGTCAAACATTTCAATTTGAAAGTTTGAGAATGGTACACATGCATTTCTGCGGACACCTATCTGACATTTTTTTTTTCATGCTGCTAATATTGCGCTATTTGAAAAATTGGGTGATAAAGCTGAAAATAAGCAGACAAAAATTACTATGCTTGCATTTTGATGGCTAAAGATGATTAAACCTTGAAATGGAACATAAAAGTAATTGCGAAATCATTGAAAAAGTACTTAAAACAAAAACATGAATAATGGTATGTGACAACCTCATCAGTCACATCCATCGGGGCCACATTTAAACAAAGATGTACTGTTCAATAGTTTTGGTCACTAAAAATTACATTTACTTATGGAAGAATTCAATTCATGCCATTGTGTGGGAGCCAGCCCCTGCAAAACTCTCTGTTATTTTAGCTTTTAGCAATGCAGTTAATAATGGCATCTGAAAAACTTAGAAAATATTACTAATGAAGGACCATGTGTATATTCCTTACCAAATGGCAGAGGGTGTCTAGTAAAAAAGCATTCATGCCCATAAATGAATAATACTTTATTGCTTTAATACTGCACATTGGTGATAAATGTGTTGATGTGCAATTAATTACAGGTCAATGGAATGACTATTAATTTACAATCGATCACTGCACTGATACCAGATGATCAGTTAACCACTGTAATTTGACATCACCAGGCCTTGTCAAACTAATCGATCACTAAATACATGTACGTGAACTGAAGAGTAATAGATTCAGCCTGTGCATTTATTTCCTGATGTCACAGAGTGACATACTTAGGCAAGTACCCAGGTTATGGTAGATTTACAGGCATGTCCTGATCAGTATGTGATCTGTGTTAGATCAACAGCTGACCAAAGGACAATCAAACATAACTAGTCAAACATAGGAAGTGTATCACAGCTTCTTGTAAAGAAAAGTGTCATCTATCACGGTCCTTGAAACTGAAATTTCGGCAGAGAATGAACAGTTGTATTTCATTTCCACACAACACACTGCTGCACAGTTACAGACACCTGTCAACCTGTCACTCATTTTTTCCGAAATTAACATCTAGCAATCTAATCACCTGGTATGTTGGCAAGTCGAAAGGGTTCGTAACACGTTGAAAACCTCCACCCGATGCCATGTCTTGATACTTCGTTATTTGCAGAGTTTTACATAATAATGAAACCTCAATATTTAACAGAAGACTTCTGTCGACTTTAGGGAAGTACCCTACGTCGCCATCTTGATTCTCGTATTAGTATCACGTGACTGTTTGATTAGACGTGAATATTTCGTATCAGTTGTGATTCAGCAGGCCCACAAGCTAAGTGGAAGTTATTGAAAACACCTCCGTTCGTTTATGTCAGTATTCTGACGTTTGACAAGTTCCTGAACATGAACAAATAGGAAAAATCGTTATTTCCGATCTCGCGAGATTATGTGTACACGCCAGTCATGTGACTCTGAGAGCCGACAGAATCAAAACATTTCTTTTTCGTGTGTTAGACTTTGGTCATCCTTGGCATAAAAAGACATACAATCGTTTTGATTGCGTGACACTTAGCACGCCGAAGACCACGGCTATTTGACTGAAACGATTTTCAGCAGAGACCAGGCAAGCAGGTATAATAGCATTGGAATCAACACCATTTCTTACCAAATGCAGATCAGACATTAATATTGTCAACATTGCCAGTGACATCATATAGAGTCTACTCCAAGATGTATCCCGGTTTCCAAACAAACTGCCCTTAGAATAAAAGACTGTACGTTTTTTTCAGAATTGGGGATGTTGTTAAAGGTCCATAAAAGTTTATATTTCATTCTGTGCAATAATGTCAAACTAGGGTCTAAATATAAAGCCTCTTCTTTGAATACACAATGCCATTCAGAAAGTGATCAAATGTAACAAATGTTATATTTGGGATAACACTTTCTTAGTAAAGTACAGATTCCCATACTTTTTTTGGGTTGAGTCCCGTCTAGGATTTGAGCCCACACTGCCAGAGTGGGGCACCTTATCGCCAACACACAAAGTCAGCGATCTAACCCCAAGCCTTTACTGAGAAAGTGTTATCCCAAATACAACATTTGTTACATTTGACCCTTATTGAATGGCTTTGTGTATTCATAGCTTTCGGCCATGAGAGCCGTGCCAATTTACACTTGTCAGAGGGGTACACAAAGTACATGATCTAGACTACCAGTTGTGGGACTTTCATTTTTGTTGTAGCCTCGGTGGCTGAGTGGGTTAGATCGCTGACTTTGTGTGCTGGCGATAAGGTGCCTCACTCTGGCAATGTGGGTTCGAATCCCGGATGAGACTCAATCCCAAAAAGTATGAGAATCTGTACTTTACTAAGAAATGTAACATTTGTTACATTTGACCCTTATTGAATGGCATTGTGTATTCATAGCTTTCGGCCATGAGAGCCGTGCCAATTTACACTTGTCAAAGGGGTACACAAAGTACATGATCTAGACTACCAGTTGTGGGACTTTCATTTTTGTTGTAGCCTCGGTGGCTGAGTGGGTTAGATCGCTGACTTTGTGTGCTGGCGATAAGGTGCCTCACTCTGGCAATGTGGGTTCGAATCCCGGATGAGACTCAATCCCAAAAAGTATGAGAATCTGTACTTTACTAAGAAATGTAACATTTGTTACAACCCTCTTCTTGTTTGAATACATGACACTATTTTATGGATAGCAACTTCTTTTATTCTTTGTACAACATTTCAGAGCTACTTCTTTCTCCTTCATCAGGTGAATCTTGTTTATTATCAAACATTATCAAACACAGTGAAATGCAAGTCACATCTTCAAAGCAATAACATTAATTATTACTATAACAACATGACCTGGCCAATATTTAATTCCAATTTTTGAATCTTTGCTGGTATTTTCCTCAGACATGGGGAGGGATATTGGCCTATGAGCAGGTCTAGTGATACTCCAATGATAAAATGGCCTTTTGTCATCCCTGTCTAATAAAATCAGATCCAAGCAATCATTACAGATCATATATTGTTTGACCATCTGTATCTCAAGATTTGTAAACTTAAAATCCAGTGTTGGAAGGGATAACATGTTAATCATTGTCATTTTAATTATGTACCTATACTGGAAGATGTACAGCATTTGACCAGGCACAGTTTTGGATTTGAAGTAGCACCGTGTGAAGGATGAAATTTGCATTGCCAGCTTGAAGCTAAGCTAATTGGCCAACACTTCACCATAGGACCACAAATAATTTGCACTTTTTTTTACCTGTTGATCAGCACCAGATGTGTGCTATCCTTTTTGTCTGTGAAACTTGAAATAATTTAATGGATTTACCCCAACTTACAATGGATTAATTCGTTAAAAGAAGTGTGTTAGCTAGCACTAACAAACTATAAACATGATAAACTGCACTGGTAAGGCCATCATAAATTCATTGCAAAATTATCATCCACTTTTTTTCAAATGTGGGGAGGGAAGCTTTTTATTTTGTATTTTTATTTAAAGTCTTGAAGTTGAAGACTGGACACCTTGGTAGGAACAATAGATGACTGAAATAACAAAGATAACAAATAAACATTGATTTCAACAGTAGCAGTCGGATGTATCTTTGTTCAACCTATTTTTGTTTTCCCTGCCCCAACTTGTACAGTTGTACTCGTGCTTATGAATATATCCTCAATTGACGTTAACATATCAAGTTCTCCACATGCAAACTTGTTGAAGATTTCCATAAGAGTCATAGACTCTGGCATAGGACAGCCATACCAGTCTTAAATGGTTTGGACACCTCTCATATTTTCAAAATAGCTAGAACCATCTTACTCTCATCTTACCGAGGCAAGGGAGTTAACTGACTATTAAAGTTCAGTTTCTACCCTTGCCAAACTAGGCTGGATTTATGGAGTTATATTTTGGCGGGTCGATGCAGTCCAATCAAAATCGTGCAACAAACGTTGTTCATAAACAACATGGCGACTGCAGTGCAGATTTCAGTCGACTGCAGGATTTGCAGAGCATGTGTACCGTCAACTGGGCATCGACAGATGTTTTCCAAATCTTATCATGTATTTAATCAAAGTGCTCGATTGATTTGATGTACTTCACGAGGTAGGACACATTTTATTACAATAAAGATCTTGACTATCGATCAGATCGTCTTGTCTGGGCGCCACCATTTTGTTTGAAGCAATTGCAAGCGAAAGGAGAGGTGGAATCTGATTGGTCAGTAGGAGGGACACAGAAGGGACATAACTTGAGATTGCCACTGATGGTGCTACGTTGAAGCCACAAAATTCCAGCCTAGTTTGGCAAAGGTGGAAACTTGACTTTTTACAGTCAGTTAACTCCCTTGCCTTAGGAAGATGGCCTCATCTTGACAGCTGACAGCAAGCAGACGATAGGCAGTCGTCGCAAAGAGTTTGTTGTAGGCACATTTATGGCATGTCATAAAGTTGACTGATTGCCAACTAAAAGGTCCACCAGGCTCATTTCATATTTAAGTTTAATTTTAACATGAAAGAGACATTTGACAGTTGATGTTCTTACAGTGCTCTCAACATTTCAGACCGCCTGTGTGGTCTAGTGGTAGAGCGTCCGCCCGGAGAGTGGAAGGTCCGGGGTTCGATCCCCGGCCGCGTCATACCAAAAGACGTTAAAAGATGGTACTTGTTGTTACCCTGTCTGGCGCTCGGCATTAAGGGGCTAAAACAAGGACTGGTCGGCTCGGAGTCAGTATACTGTGTCAGAGCAATTAATTCATTATGGCCTTAACTGTGGTCAGAAGAGGTCCCCAGTATCTCAGGCTAGTTGTCGTTGGTTGGTTTGTCAGCAGTATAACAACTATATGACGGCAGTCTGTAAATAATGGAGTCTGGACCAGACAATCCAGTGATTGATATCATGAGCATCGATCGGGATCGATGACATGCATCAACCAAGTCAGCGAGCCTGACCACCCGATCCCATTAGTCGCCTCTTACGACACGCATGGTCACCTTTTACGACAAGCATGGGTTGCTGAAGATCTATTCTACCCCAGAATCTTCATGGGTTGGCTAGTTGTCAGAGCCATCTACTATGATCTAGAAAGGAGATTGGGTGGTTGTGGTATGAGATGTTGATCATGCTGTCTACCACTGGTTTTCAATTACAGTGGAATCAACCGGGCTTGTATTGAACTGGCATTTTAAGTCTGGTTGAGACAGCAGACCAGATTAGACAGAAATCTCATTCCAGCAAAGAGTTGCATCTCTTGGTGTCTCGTGAAATGAACATTTAAGATTGATGGTGAAATTGGGTTTAACGTCGCGTCCAAGATTATTGCACTTATTTAGCGACATGCATGCACGTGTATGTGTTTGTGTGGCTGCTTGTACTAGTCCGGACTGATGCCGATTTATAGTGCTAGCTCACTGAGATACCATGCCGCATTTTAACATGAATACCCCACTCAGACACAGTATACTGACTCCGAGCCGATCAGTCCTTGTTTTAGCCCCTTAAAGCCGAGCGCCAGACAGGGTAACAACAAGTACCATCTTTCAACGTCTTTCCGGGCAGACGCTCTACCACTAGACCACTAGACCACAGAGGCGGTCTAGTTAAGATTGAATATGTGTCATGTACAAATATACCTAATGATATGCCTTAGTGAAAGGCCGACACCACAACATAAGCCATATGCAGTACTAGGTACAGTCGATATATCAGGAGAAAAAGGACCTTATAGGTACTTGGATACAATTGTGCCATGACGTTATGAAGACATCTGACGTCAACATACTTCAGTGAAGATCGCCATGTGATATGAATTGAAGCATGTGAATTGTATTTTTGTGTTCTGAAGATCATGAAGATGCTTTAGTTTTAAAATATAATGAAAAGTCAAAATATGATTTTTCACCCATAAGGTCTCTTATCTCATAGTTGGTCACGTATTTACATCGTACATGATGGCAATGGTAAACTGCTGATCCAAGCAATGATATTGCATAGTACAGCAACACCATTGGTCATATCCAACATGTCTGCAGCTCATTACGCAAGTGTCAGACTCGTGGTTATGTAAAATAACTAGATTTTGGGATAAAACAACTAGAACGAGGCATCACTCAGACCGCCTTTGTGGTCTAGTGGTAGAGTGTCCGCCCGGAGAGCGGAAAGTCTTGGGGTTGAGCCCTTGGCACGTCATACCAAAAGACGTTAAAAGATGGTACTTGTGTTATCCTGTCTGGTGCTCGGCATTAAGGGTCTAAAACAAGGACTGATCGGCTCGGAGT